AAGAAAAATCCACACCCAGGTCTGTTTGACTCTAGGCTGAACTGCTCTAGGATAATGGGACCACCTCTATGTACATTTCTGTTATATCTATTCAAAACTGTTCACTGGCTTACTGCTTCTCTCAAAGGATAAACCAAGTCACAGCAACAGGACTACAAGGCCCCACATGATCTGCCACATCTTCCTCATTATCTTTGATCTCCACTCCCTTTCACCTTCTCCATTTTTATGTTGGCCTGTTTGTAATTCCTTGTACCAATCAGGCTTACTTTCACCTTTGGGCTTTTGCACTAGCCTTTTTTGCAGTGTGGAACATCCTTAACCGTAAATATCTGCTTTGTAATGACATCACCTTCATCAAGTCTGTGCTCAAATCTTCACCTTTTTCTTTGGGACTGTCCTGATAATCCTATTTAAATTGCAGTCTACTCCATCACACCCAAATCCTCTTACTTTTTCTATTTTTCCCACCATAGTACTAATCACCATCTTCTAAATGATACAATTTACTTTTTAAAAATTATGTTTATCTTTTGTTACTCTCAAGTAGAATGGAGGCACAATTTTTGTCCTTTTTTGTTGTTCCCTGAAATATGCCAAGCATGTAGAAAACAGCATCTAGAAACCTAGCAACTATACCAAAAAAAAAAAAAAAAAATTGAATGAATTATTTTTCTTGCTTTTGTTTTTACTATAATTCATCCTAAAACTACTTGGAGTATTATAAAAATCATGTCACAGCTAGAATGTCTCTTTATGTATTCTCCTGGGAAGCCGATAAAGAATGTTTGTACAAGTTGTTGAAACAGGCTGGATTTCTCCATTTCAGATATAAAAAGAAGATATGAAGTACATGGACTACCTGTTAGTCTGATGTTCTTTGTTGCAAGTTCAGGAAAAATTATTAGGATCTGAAGTTTGCTATCTCTATTATTTTAATTCGTTGATCAGATTTTAATTGCCTGATAATTGTTTCACTCAGTATTATGCACTGCTTTTTTATACAGTGATTTAAATGACAAGATATAGTAGAGTTGTTTCCAACATCAGAAAGAAAACTTAAATTGAATACAATGTCACAGCATTCCAGAGTTAGTACCTTTAAATGTGTCCATTGTGGAAACTGGTGGGGATGGGGGTGGGGCTGGTTGGAATTGTTGCTAAAAGAATTTAGGAAATATATTTTAGGTCATTTGGTGAGCAGGAATCCTTCACCCTTCAACCACTGAATCCATGTTAAGAAGCCTACATTATTTGTAACTAAGCTACTTTCAATAAAAAATTGCTAGATTAAACAACAGTCACCAAATCCAAGAATGCTACCTCCATTGAAGTGGCATTAAAGCTACACTCTGGACTTCAGACTTCAAAAGAGCTCTTTTTCTCATAGTTAGTAATAACAAAGGTTTCTAAGGCAGAGCCTTTTAGCAGCCTGTATAATTCTCAGTACTTCATAGATCCTCAAATTTAATTGAACATATACACTCTAATTATCCAATTTCTACACAAGGCATGTCTCAATAAGGGCCTCCCATGGACCTGCAGGCGTTTACCATGCTCTTTGGTGAACTCCTCTCTGAGTGATTAGAGGTAATGTATTCAACTGTCTCAAGGAGTACAAGGACTCTGCTTTTAAACCTCCAGTTATACTGATGGTTTGCCACCTTGCCCCTACCTTGTAACAGAATGCTTTCTAACTGAGATGGAAAATGAATATTTTCCTATCAAGCTTATGATGTGCATCAAAATTTAATTCCTGGGGTCAGAGTCAGATGCAGGCACCTCAGTTTTCTTTAATGGACTGGAGATAATGTGCATAACTTTGGGTCCATTTTTGGTCCACTGGTTCTCAAATTTTCTTTATAAGAATTGCCCGAAGGGTGTATTAAGTATAGATCCTGGGGCCCCACCTGCAAGGACTAGGATTAGCTCACTGAGGAGAGGAGCTCAGGAATTTACATGTGTTAAGAAACTCCCCAAGGGATTTACCTGTAGATGCTTTGAGCAACAGGAGAGCTTATCACTGGGTATGATTTGTGTGGAGTTTGAGAATATCCATGAGCATTCCCATGTGTAATGCTATGAATATAGTTATTGGTGGAAACTTATCCCCTACCTTACTTTTATTCTGTGTAGGCAGTGCCTAAAGATTAGTGAGAATGTAGAAAATGAAGAGTTGATACATCAGTGGAACTCTGATAAAATAGATGGTAGTAGTCCCCCCTTAGCTGTGGTCTCACTTTCCAGGGTTTCAGTCACCTGCAGTCAACTGTGGCCCAAAAATACTAAATGAAAAATTGCCAGAAGTAAACAGTTCAGAAGTTTAAAATTGTGTACTGTTCTAAGTAGCATGATGACATCATTCCACTATGTCCTACCTGGGATCCCCAACTGTTGACACCATCTTCTCCTGACATCCATCTATTGACATTGTCCTGGCTTGATGATCCAGGATCACCTGAAGTAGATAACCCTCCTTCTGAGTTAATAGTCACAAAGTCAGTAGTTCTAATGCTATGTCACAGCGGCTATGTTGTTCATGTTACTTCATCTCATCATATAGGAATTTTATTGCCCTACATTATCACAAGAAGAAGTGTGAGTACAGTGCACAATAAGATACTTTGAGAGAGAGAAAGGGAGACACATGCCTCCAGAGAAAGAGAGAGACTATATTCATGTAACTTCTATTGTAGTATATTATTATTATTCTATTTTATTATTAATTAATGTTGTTAATCTCTTACTATGCCTAATTTATAAAGTAAGCTTTATCATAAGTATGTATGTACAGGAAAAAAACATAATATATGTAGAGTTTGGTACTATCTAAGGTTTCAGGCACCCACTTGGAAGGGATCCCTCATAGATAAGAGGACCATTGTATATTGAATTAGTGTCAGAGTGAGAAATCTAATTTTTTTAAAAGGATTTTTTAAAAGGATTTTTTTTTTAAAAAAAGGATTTTCCCTCAAAGATTACTTTTTCTTTTATCTCATTGCTTGCAGCTTGCTTGAGTGCGAGCATAAATGAGCTAGCTTCTAACCTATTTTTGTCTCTTTCCACCATACCATGAAATCTATATGTCGCTCTTAATTTTAAGTTTTTATTTTGACCAAAGTTGTGGAGCTAGTCTAGCATACTGCTGGCATTTTAGACAGCTAAGAGAAAAAAAGTAATATAATCATGACCCTAGAAAAAAGTAAAATGCCACTATTCCACCAAATAGATTAGCAATTATACTAGTAGAAATAAAGGACAGACATGGCTTCAGGGAGTCCTTTTGATCTGTACTTCATGGGGGGAAGAAAAACCTTAATGTGTTCATACATGATTCTCAGTGACTTTTAGAAACTGCTTTTGTCACTGAAATACAGAGCAACCACAAAGTAACAAGAATCAGACAATTTTGTTCTTGTAGTAGCTGTTTTATGTCATTTACAAATTCAGACCATTGAAACTGTCAAAGTAATTTAGTGACAAAGTGGTCAGTTTCAAACTTCAATGTTCACATTTAGAAGGTAGCACCATAACCTCACAAAAACATGTTTTAGATACATAGTCACTATTTATATTACTCATTATATATTAAAAAATAAACATATGTCACTGAAGTAGCTGATGTTGATAATTGCTAATAAGCATTTCACTTCTTTCAGAATATTGTATCTTTTTTGCCAATTAGAAATAATTATGTATTAAAGTGAACCAAGTTCATTCTCATTCATTTTCACTTTTTATCTTCTCCAAGAAAAAATATATTAATTTGTTTAAGTATCCATTGAATTTAGCATACAGTTGATTCACGCCCAAAACTGTGAGACCATTACAGCTTATTTCACATCCAATCATAAGTTCTCTTTAGACAATTGTTAATTGATTCTTGACAGAAAAAATTGAAATAACTTGATTCACTATAGAAAATCATAGAGACAAAATTATGTATCATTATTACATTAAATGATTTGAGCCCATCTCATTCTGTTGACAAAGAAATGGACAATATAATTCATCTGAGTGGGGACTAGGTATTTGAATATTTTTACAGCACCACAGTGGTGATTCTGTCCCCGAAATTCAGCCTCTGTATACTGGTGCCCGATTAAATCTCAGAGACAGAGTTTTGGGTGAATTAGAAAGAAATAGCTTTATTGCTTTGCCAGGGGAAGGGGGCCACAGCAGGCTAATGCCCTCAAGACTGTGTGTCTCCCCCTGGATGGGGTATGGAAGAGTCTTTTTTTTTCTTCTTCTTCTTTTTAAATCAGGCATTTGTAAACAAGAAAGCATACATTAATTACATAAAGAGGCTTTCTGAATAGCAGAGTAAGTCATCATGTTGTCATTAGCAACGGCAAAGGGGAGAAGCGGTTGGCGATGCGGACATTCCTGGTGAGCACCAGAGTGGAGCTGTGGTTTTTTTCCTCAGTCGGAAAAAAAAGTGTCTTTCGGGACTCCTGACTTAAAGCGAGAACAAGACAGCCCCCCGCGAGCCCCGTGGGCAGGTGCGGAGGGCAGGTGGGTTTGCCGAGCAACCTGGGTGAGCCCTGGGCGTGTTCATCTTCCATTAGAAACAACCCAGAAAATAGGACAGCTACTGGTAAGGAAAAAGTCCCAGGGGAGGACCCACCATGTACACGTATGATACACGAGTGTAAGAGGAGAGAGTCTTCACACGGTCTGTTTGTACGTCGGTGAATTCTGTATGAAAAGCAGGACACGTGAGTTAGCTGCTCCATAGATAAGAATGTTCTTGCTGTTGTTTTTTTCCCCTTCATTAGAAATCTTCTTGCGGCATGGAAATAATGAATTATTAAACTGAATACAGGGTCATTTTGGTAATGGGTACTACAGACGGGAGAGTCAGCAACCTATGGAAAGAGACCTCTTTCGAAGAAACGCAACTGCTGCTAGGCCGGAACCCGGGGACCCTGCCCCGAGGACAGGGACGAGGATAGCCCCACGCCAGCCTTGCCCGGGGCCGCCACCGGCTCTGGCAGGTCATGGGACTCTCCTGGTGGATGTGGAGTTGGGGCAGGGGTGCGCTGCGGCCCAAGGCCGCCGGACCCACCGCCCTACCTCAGCTCTTCCCGACATCAGGGACCAAGCTGGATGGTGGCGGCCCGGGCCCAGACAGAGCCAATGGTCGGATGTGCAGGCGAGCAGAAAGGAGGCGAGGTGATGCGTTGCCCTCGCATGCCACTTGGAAAAATGTGTCTCCCTCTGGAGTCTAAACTCAGAAAGTGAATGGAGCAAACCAGGCGGCCTCAGACGGCGGGTCCCAGGGGCCTTGCAACCTCACTGCAAGGTTCAGATGGCCAGAGAACACAGCCGCACAAAAGCGCGCTAACACTCTTAAAGCTCTGCTCCAACTAAATCATTTAGTTCCCTTGAAGAAATGACTGAAAAACCCCACTCTGGAAAAACAAGACTGAACACAGCATTCTGAGTGTTGCGTGACACAACTGACTTTCTACACGACATGGTAATAATGCCCATTGGTGGATATGGTATTCAGGTAAGTTCAGTCGCTTAGTCATGTCCCACTCTTTCTTTTGTTACCCCGTGGACTGCAGCACGCCAGGCCTCCCTGTCCATCACAAACTCCCGGAGTTTACTCAAACTCACGTCCATTGAGTTGGTGATGCCATCCAACCATTTATTTAAATAATTGATACAGTGTATTTAAATTTAACCTGTGAAGGATAAAGTCTAAAAAAAAAGACTGGGTTATACAAAACGAGGTTTCCTTGGTAGCTCAGTGGTAAAAAATCTGCTCGCAATGCAGAAAACCAGGGGTTTGATCCCTGGGTCGAGAAGATCCCCTGGAGAAGGGAATGGCAACCCACTCCAGTATTCTTGCCTGGAGAACTCAATGGACAGAGGAGCCTGGTGGGCTACCGTCAATGGGGTTGCAAAGAGTCGGACATGACTGAGCAACTTACACTTATACAAAACTCACCTTCTTGCCATAAGCACTGTACATTCCCCCCCCCCATTTGACAGGCTAAGTAGGTGTCTTATCCATGACTAGAAAGTCAGCTGGAGTCAGGATCATTACCACATTTTGTGGCCCTTTAGGGCCTTGTTTCTTATCACACTGACAGACCTCTCTGCCTTCTCTGTGTCTCTTTTTGTGTGTGTTTTTCAGGGCCAGGTCTGTCGTACGGTGAGCTGTGCACATGTCTGAACCTGCCAGGGAAGGTAAGTCCTTGTATGGTAGAGACAGTGCCGTTGGCCCAGTCTGTCCCCAAATAGTCTGCCCGTAGCCGCTCACTGCAGACATAGTGATTACATGTGGAAATGGGAGGTGCCTCTTGAGGGCTAGGAAGAGGGACCAGAGAAGCAGTCAGATGGGCACTGAGCCTGACTCTATCTCAGCTCTGGTTCTGGCCCTGCCGCTTACTAGTGGGGAGATTTGTGACCTTATTTTGCTACATTGTTAAACAAATTTACTTTATTGAAGCATAGTTGATTTACAGTGTTGTGTTAATTTCTACTGTACAGTGAAGTGATTGAATTATACATATATATATATGTATATATATATACATTGATTTTCATATTCTTTTCCATCGTGGTTATCACAGTATATTGAATATAGTTCCCTATGCCCTGTGGCTAAACTGGTAAAGAATCTGCCTGCAATTCGGGAGACCTGGGTTGGGAAGATCCCCTGGACAAGGGAAAGGCTACTCACTCCAGTATTCTGGCCTGGAGAATTCCATGGACTATACAGTCCCTGGGGTCACAAAGAGTTGGACACGACTGAGCGAATTTCACTTTTACTTTCATCCTATATAGTAGGACGTGTTGTTTATTCATCCTGCATATAATAGTTTGCATCTGTTAATCCCAAACTCCCAATCCTTCTCTCCTTCTTGGCAACTACAAGTTGATTCTCTGTGTTGTGACCCTACTGACTCAGTTTGCACATTAGTGAAATGAAAAACTAAGTCCCAGACTCTTCACACAATGCCATCACATGGATCAAATGATATGATGAAAAATTTAGTTTGTGGATTGACAGCTACTAAAAAACAAGATTAGGCAAGATGGCATGACACAGTCAATGAAAAGAAATGGACTTGGGATCAGAAGGCCTAACTTAAGTAGTTTAAGTGACTGAAGTGACTTAGCATGTGTGCACATATCATTTGACTTTCTAAGCCTCCATTCTCTCATCTCTAGAATAAGACTGTTTGTACCTGGCATGCCTTCTTGAATGATATTACTCATTAAGTAAAAAGAGATGTACGTACTGCTTAGTCAGTTGCACCTGACTCTTTGCGACCCCATGGACTCTAGCCCACCACGCTCCTCTGTCCGTGGGATTCTCCAGGTAAGAATACTGGAGTGGATAGCCTTTCCCTTCTCTTCCCAACCCAGGGATTGAACCTGAGTCTACTGCATTTCAGGCAAATTCTTTACTGTCTGAGCCACCAAGTAGTTAGCAGTTAGCTGCCCTAGACACAAGGGCTACAACCCTGAACAAGACAGCTTGACTCTGCTGTGGTGGAACCTCCAGCCTCCTGGAGCAGACAATGGATTTAAAACTACTTTGTCAATTGTAACCTGGTAAGCAAATGTGTACTACTACATTAGCACTATACTGTTAATATTACAAAGTAGAACAGCTTTCTAGGTAAACTGAAAAAATTAACCATTTATTTTGACCTCTCATTCCAGTGTTGCAAGTATATAGGAAAACTCTCAGGATTTTCTGAACTGGTGTTCAGAGAATACATGAGATCAGCTTTAAGAAGTTGGAATTGTTTGGATTTCCATATTTAATTGTCACATATGTATATGAAAATATCTAGCAGGGTGTTTTAAGTGTTTACCAAAAAGTGGATATGATGACCCCCCAGTCAGATCCTCTTAAGTGTGTAATTGAATTCTGGAAATCATGAAGGCATAAGAGAAATTCCAGTACTGTTTCCAGGCCACTGGGATGCCCTATAAGGAATTCCTTGTCAGTTTAGTTAAGTATGGCCCCAATTCCATCATGTCCTGATAGGCTGTGCCAGAGGCCATGTGTGCTAAGTCACTTCAGTCATGTCCAACTCTTCGTGACCCCATGGACTGTAGCCCACCAGGTTCCTCTGTCCATGGGATTTCCCAGACAAGAATACTGGAGTGGGTTACCATTTCCTATGCCAGAGGATCTCCCCAACCCAGGGATCCAATCTGCATCTCTTGCATCGACAGGTGGATTCTTTACCACTAGGACCACCTGAGGCCATGTAATTGTCCTAATGCCAGGGAGATTGTGGTTGATGATAGTTTAATTACAATAGTAAAGATAACAAGGAATGGCCCATTATGCCTGGTTAGAGTTTGTTTTAAAGAAGTATTTTTTTTTTGAAGTATAGTTGCTTTCCAAGATTATATTACTTTCAGGTGTACAACACAGTAATTTGGTATTTTTATAGGTTACACTCCTTGTAAAGTATAAAAGTTATTATAAAGTATTGGCTATATTCCTTGTGTTGTATATCACATCCTTAAATGCATTTATTTTATACCTAGTAGTTTATATCCTTTAATCCCCTTCACCAACCTTGCCTCTCCCTCCACTCCTTTACGTGATTTTAATTTAATAGAATGTTTCAAATAACTGAAGTTGTGGTGTGGTAGGTTTCTGGCTTTCTCACAAGTAATTCAAGTGGCATTTACATTAATTTTCTTCTCTGTGTGTTCTGTCCCTATACTGACAGCATACAAAAATTAGCTTTCTAATTTTGTTTATTGTATGTTTAAGTAAATTTATGTGAAATGATCTAAAATAAAAGGCAAAGTATTTACATTCAATGGGCAACTTCTGTTTCATATAGTCTTTTTATTTTTTCTTATGGATATTATTATAATTGTAAACAAACAAACAAACTATACTTGCCTTTACATACACAACTGGGTGAAGTACTAGTAGGAACTTCCCTGCTGGTCCAGTGGTGAAGACTCTGTGCTTCTGATGCAAGCAGCATGGGTTCCGTCCTTGGTTGGAGAAAAAAGATCCTAAATGCCGCGTGGCACGGCTGAGAAAATATTAAAAAGAGAGAATGTACTAGTAAAGTGAAAATACTGAAATTCATGCTGTAAAAAAACACAAAGATGAAAATAGAATCTAGAGGAAAGGCTTGGTAAGCTGTCTGGTTTAACTGGCACATCACTCAGATGCCTTTTCACATGGGGACATGTTGCATTTGGTAAGTGAAGTTCCTCCTCCCTGGGAAGCAGGAGGTGACTTCTCCAGTTAGTACTGTGTGTGGCTAGTGGAAGCTATGGGGCTTGCTAGGTGGAGGTCCGCCTTTGGCATCCGTTCTGTGAGCCGTGAGGGGCTGACATTTGGCAGCCATGTGCTGTGCTCAGCAATGTACTTCAAAGCAGACGCTTCCCACAATTTTCAGGTTAGTGAGGACATCACACTCAAGCCCTGTCTGGTGCTTAGAAAAGCATTGCTGTGTTTTGAATGTGATCTCTTTCACACAAAGCTTATTTTCAGGTCAAGAGGGGAACTGATGCTCAGAAACTCTCTTCAACTCTTGGGGTTGTTTTTGTGCTGGTTTTAGAAGTCATTGGGCTGATACGTTCCTGTGTAACATGGAGGTCTCACAGCAGGAAGCTTCAATGGCAAATGCTCACAAGAGAAGAGAAGGGGAAAAAGGTCCCATGAACCAGGGAACAATTCCTCAACAATTCCTCCTTTACCTGTAATGTGACCCATATCATTTCACCAAGTGCAGACAGAGTTACAGAATGAGAGTGTGGTATATTTTTCTGGCTAAAATTAGTTTTGGTGTTTTTCTTTTTCAACCCAAAGCTTATTTCCTGGTCACCTTTCCACGCTCTCTGATCAAGTAGTGGATCTAAGAGCTAACTAATCGCGGGCACAGTTTTTGTCAGGGAGGCTCTCCTGTGAAGGCTCTTGGCTATTTTCTGTGTCAGGCTGTTGTCTCCTGGCTTCTTGCTCCATCCTCAGCACCTGGAATGATCTGTAGCACGAATTAGGCATCTGATACATATTTGTTCAGTGAGTGAACACAGATGTCCCCTCTGTCTAAATGGAAGATGTAGCTAAGGAGAACAAAGTTATCAACTTTACCAAAAGTGAGTGATTTGCATTTCTGAGAACCCACTGACTTGGTGTGATAACTAGTTCACTAAGCCTCTGACCTTCCCAAGAATACTTCGGAGATTATTTCCTTGGAGACAAAATTTGTAAACAAATCAA